TGAATTTTGTGGTATTCATATGCCATACTGTAAATGTTGCATTACAGTTAAAAAAGAAAAGTGATAGAATCAAAGCCATTGTGGAGGCAGCTGGAAAATTCCTTGACATGAAAGATATGAAAGCAGATCAGATACATGCAATGCTAACTATAAATGGAGCTGGGGAAAATGAAAATCAGGATGAGGGTTAGATCCTTAATCATGGTGCTGCACATACTACAGTGGAACGCAAGAAGCCTCATAGCTAATGGTCAAGAATTCAAGAAATATATATATGATCTAGAGGTAGTCCCTGAGGTAATATGTGTGCAAGAAACCTGGTTTACGACCTCAATTAGACTTTGTCATTCCAGGATTTAGCTGTATAAGGCATGGTAGAGATAATAATCAAAATGGTGGAGGGTGTGCCACGTTTCTCAAAGATGGTGTGGCATATAGGGAGTTGCAATCTCCTGATGATATAGAGGTACAGGATATACAGCCCCAGGACAAGACCAGCTATGTTATGCTATGTTTAGACAGTTACCTATGGAAACTATGACAATGGTGCTGAGTCTTTTCAATAAAATCTGGGGAGAAGGAGATATGCCAAGTTTGTGGAAAACAGCAGTCGTGCTACCATTCAATAAGCCAGGGAAAGATACAGCTAACCCTAGTAACTACAGACCAATAGCTCTTACATCACACCTATGTAAATGGATGGGAAAGATCATTGTCCGTAGGCTCTCACATGTACTGGAGCAGAAAGGGCTGCTGAGTAGTTTTCAGAGCGGATTTCGTAAAGGGCGGTCCACAATAGATGCTTTAGTAAGAGTGAGTAATGATGTGGAAAAAACATTGAAAATGAAAGAGATAATGGCAATAGTGTACTTTGACAGTGAAAAGGAGTATGACTGTATATGGAGGGATGGGTTACTGATCAAATTGAGTAGAATGGGTATTGGAGGGAGAATGTACAATTGGGTAAGGGCCTTTTTAACAGACAGGACATTTAGAGTAAAGGTTGGAGCAGATATTTCCAATTATTTTGAAATAGAAAATGGTATCCCCCAAGGGAGTGCAGTCAGTCCAATATTATTTAACATCATGATTAATGATATATTTACATGTTTAGACACATGCATTCAATCGGCTCTATACTCAGATGATGGGGCTATTTGGATGAGGGGAAGAAATGCCCCATACGTAATGGAGAATATAGCTAGAGCGATTAAAAAAGTGGAGAGGTGGTCATATAACTGGGGATTCAAAATGTCAGAAAGCAAGTCATGCTACAGAAACGGCACTCACCAAAGTCCTCAACGACCTCCTCACCTCTGCTGACACCGGTTCACTCAACATCCTCATCCTCCTCGACCTGAGTGCAGCCTTCGAGACCGTGAGCCACAACATCCTGCTCACCCGACTCCAGGACATCGGTATCGAAGGTACTGCACTCAGGTGGCTCCAGTCCTACCTCTCCGACAGATCCCACTTCATCTCCCTCAACAACCACTCCTCTGCCACAGCTTCAGTCACCCAAGGTGTTCCCCAAGGTTCAGTACTCGGCCCCCTCCTCTTCATCATCTACATCCTCCCCCTTGGTCAGATTCTACACCACTACAACCTGGACTTTCACTGCTACGCTGATGACACACAGATTTACCTCAGCACCAAATCCCCCCACAACCCCCCCCTCACCCACATCGAATCCTGTCTGACTGCTATAAAATCCTGGATGGCACACAACTTCCTCAAACTCAACAGCAATAAAACTGAACTCCTCCTCATCGGCTCCAAATCCACCCTCAGCAAAACCCCCAACCTGACACTCACCATCGATGGCACCCCTGTTTCCCCCTCCACCCAGGCACGCAACCTTGGCGTGATATTTGACCCCACCCTCTCCCTCGAGCCTCACATCCGCCAAGTTGTTAAAACCTCATTTTTCCACCTCCGCAATATCGCCAAACTCCGTCCCTCTCTCACCCGCCCTGCAGCTGAGCGACTCATTCACGCCTTCATCTCCTCCCGCCTGGACTATTGCAACGCACTCCTCTACGGCATCAGCACTACATCCCTCAATAGACTTCAGCGTGTCCAGAACGCAGCCGCCAGACTCCTCACCCACACCAAATCATGGCATCATATCACCCCGGTCCTCAAAGAACTTCACTGGCTCCCCGTTTCACACCGCATCCAACACAAACTCCTGGTACTCACCTACAAAGCCCTCCACCACCTGGCCCCCCCCTACCTCACTGACCTCCTCATCCTCTACCAACCACCCCGGTCCCTCAGATCCACCTCAGCCGGTTTGCTTTCCATCCCCAAGGCCAAACTCCGGAGCTTTGGGGACAGAGCATTCTCTGTGGCAGCCCCGAAGCTCTGGAACTCCCTCCCCCAAGACCTCCGTGAGTCCGAGTCCCTCACCCTGTTCCAGTCCCGCCTCAAAACCCATCTCTTCAAATCTGTATACCCATAAGCCCCCCCCCCCACCCCCCACTTCCTCCTGACTGCTTTCTGTTTTTTTTTTGTTTTTTTGTTTTCTCTGTTTTGTTTTTGTTTTGTTGTTGTTTTGTTGCCTGTCCTTGTCTGTCTACCCTTCCCCAAATGTAAAGCGTCTTTGGGTTTAGAAAAGCGCTATATAAATAGAATTTATTATTATTATTATTATTACATGGTATTCACAAACAAACGCAAGATTGATGGCCAACAGCTAACACTATATGATCGTCCAATGACAAAGGTGAATGAGTTCAAATACCTAGGACTGTGGTTTGATAGCAAATACATGGAAAATGCATATTAATCAAGTGGAAACAAAATGCAAAAAAGTATTACATTTATTGCGAGCTGTAGCTGGATGCAACTGGGGCGCAGACATTTACAGATCAATGATGTGGTCCACAATAAATTATGGTTGTGTAGTCACTATACAACCATAATCTATTGTGGACCTCATCAATTTTTAAAAGCGGTGTTTTTGCTGCTGCTCCATACACTATACTATAGTGTATGGAGCAGCAGCAAAAACATCGCTTTTAAAAATGGATAGAATACAATATAAAGCATTGCGGTTGTGTATTGGAGCGATAAAGTCATCCCCTATCAATGCAGTTCTGATAGAAGCAGGAGAGACACCTCTGGAGATCAGAAGAGAGAAACTTGCTCTGTCATACTGGGTCAGGCTACAAGGAAGTGGAGAAGAAAATATTTCAAACAGAATATTACAGGATTGCTGGGATTATGCAAAATTCCAGGGACGTGGGTTTGGCTGGACGAGTAAGGAGAGAACGAGGGCATATGGAGTGGAGAATATCACGTTTGCCAAAGCAACCCCATTTAGTAGTGTTCCCCCATGGCTTTTCCCAGAAGCTAAAATAGATATGAGTATCATAGAAAGGAAAAAAGAGTGGCAAATAAATGAAGTGGGAATTAAAACAAGTATGTATCTGAATGAAAAGTACTACAATTACCTACAAATGTACACAGATGGTTCTAAGAACAAGGAAGAGTGTGTTGGAGTAGTTATATACATCCCAGACTTTAAAATATCTATTTCAAAAAGAGCGTCTGATCAATTATCAGTGTACACAGCAGAAACGCTTGCTGTAATCATAGGATTACAGTGGGTTGAAGAGGTCAGACCAGATAGGGTGGTGATGTGCACACATTCATTGTCCATTTTACAAAGCATACAATCAACAACAACTGCCAGAGAAGACATTCTCATAGAACTGAATCATAGCCTGTTAAGACTTCACAGAGGTGGCATAGATCTGCAGTTCTGCTGGGTGCCTGCACATGAGGGGGTGAAAGGGAACGAGTGTGCTGATAAATGAGCAAAAAGTGCACTTCAAAAGGGAATCACATTACCAGTTCAACTTGGTAAAGGAGAAGGAAAAGCAGTAATTAAGAAGAAAGGGATGGAGATCTGGCAGAAAAGGTGGGAGAAAGACCAGAAAGGCAAAGAGTATCACAAAGTACAAAAGACAATTACAATTCATATTTATAAAGAAAGAAACAGAACGGAGGAAATCACGATCTCTAGACTCAGAATAAATCACACGGCTTTGAATGGTACGCTGTATATCATGGGGAAAAGTGACAGTGACAAGTGTGGGAACTGTGGAGTAAAAGAAGATGTAGAACATATCTTGTTACATTGTGACATCTTTAAAGCGGAGAGAGAAAAACTAAAGGCTAAAGTTTTAGAGGCAGAGAGGGAATGGAGTGTGGTTGGTGTTTTGGGAACAAAAGGAGAGGGAGTAAGAGCTACCAGAAAGGCACTGTTTACATTCTTGAGTGAAACTGGGGTAGGGAAAATAATTTAACATTAGGTCAGGAAAGAATATAGATTTTTATTTTTGTTTTATTTATTTCATGTTTTTTGTTGATTTATTTATTTATTTTGATTTATTTTGATTAGATCATAGGTTAAAGAGTTGGTATGATATGATGATTCATACTCATGTACAGTAGGTGGCGGTATGCACCTTTTAAGTTGTTTGCAATCCGCCAAAAACGAAGAGAAGAAGAAGAAGAAGCAAAAACGCCTCTCATACGCTCTTCCGTTTACGTGTTTAATGAAGAAAAACAATTGGACGGTAGATACACGGATTATTCTGTATGGAGGAGTACTTTTACTTTTGGTACTAAGAGTATATTTTGATGCTAATACTTCTGTAGCTTCACTGAATGCAGCCCTGCAGAGTATTTGTATTTGTTTACTTCAGTAAATCATCCGATTTATTTTTCCACCCCTGGATACAACATTATGGCATTGACAACCGTGACCTTACATTATCTTTTCCACCACAGTCCAAAGTATAGACTAATTGATCACTTTATGAGCCTCCTTTAACTTTTTACAGCAGACTCGTAAAAAAACTAAAAACATGCTGCACATCTGAACAAAAGTATTGTGAAAACAAATTAACATTTTGTTTCTGGTTTGGCTAGTGTAATAATTCATAATGAGGGAATAAAACTGCTACATTCTTAATTGTTTGTATTACCTCTATCGGGATTATTGCATCGCGCCAATCTTGAGTCAGGTTTTCCTCAGGAATCAGGCAGTGGTGTCTGGGAATGTCTGTCAGAAAGACAACGGAGAAAGCGCCTAATCCATTGGGCACGATGCTGGCACAGAGCAGGAAGAAGACAACCTGCTGGAAACGTCCCCACTGACCCAGAAAAGCAGTGGACTCATCGTAATCCTCCATAGCCTGAGTATTAACTGTTTTCTCCCAAGCTTGCAGAAAAATTCCTTTTCCAACTCAACAGAATGAAGACATACAGTTTGCAGTCTCTTAAACTGTGAGATAGCCACGCCCTTTAATAGATAACCATGCATGCCAACAAAGAAATACAAAAATAAGAATTTTACAGCATTTCTCAAGCAATAATTTCCTCTTAGGTCTGCTGTTTAATATCTATTTAATGTTGTTATAACTTGCTTTTATTACTGGCTAGTACAGTAAAAGTTATTTTGCCTTTCATCTGAAACATTCCTTTGCTGCAACACTAATCATTTTCCTAGCCATAGCTGACAGGAATCAAGCATGTATAAGCCACATTGCTACACATATTACAATTACTTGTATATAGACTCTCCTTGCAGTATTTATATTATATTGTATTTGTATTTACTTCTATGTACAAATGACAAAAAAAGCCTTGAATCTGTTTTTTTATTATCCTTGTCAGGTTATATATTACAAAGGTCAAACGGTATAGTTTATGGATGCAATTTTTTGCTGACAACGCAAATGGCTATTACAACAAACATGTGAACTGTGCAACTTTTGTCTAGTGAACATGTTGTGCTGTTCTCTGATGTTAGGTTAATCTTTCACAGCAAAACATGAATTCACATTTAACAGGTCACCCTTATAACAGTAATAACGGAAACCTGTCTCTGTCTAGACAAATGCCAGAAATTACTTTAGCCATATCCAGTCTGAAAGTTCACTAAGACAAAAGGTCAGGTTATTTATTACCATGGCTAAAAAGAAATTGTGAATGTGTAGCAGGCCCCACTATGCAGGGCGCGATGACAGATTATGTTCCTGTAGAACAGGAGAAATGATGAGCAGAGAATGCCTTTTACTGCTCGTTTGGCGGGTCTTGCCAGAATTTATTCACAATTGGCACAAAACAAAACACAATTGTTCTTGCCCTTTTCCTACTCTCAATATAAACACATGTTTATATGTTCATGTCTTCAAAATATACTTTTAACATGCTTGAAGTATTCAAAATAAACACATTTGTCTATAACCAAATGTCATTAACTTCATGACTAAAAATAAGAATGTACTGTTAAGTACCTTTTCAGGATAACTATTAGCATTAGTCTAAAATGTGCTAGCATTAGCATCTAACAAGCATTTACAATAATTAAAGAACGACTGCACATAGGCTATCGATAATACAGAACACACCTTGTCATTTGGAATATAAACACTGAAAATAGGTAGCTAATAAAGTGCACAGGAGCTATAAACAATTAACTTGCATTCACTTTCATCAGGGAGCGTGAGTCTACTACATCTAAATAGCAACCGCCATTATACATACACACAGCCACCACGAGGTGGTCTTACATCTAAATAGCGACCGCCATTACACATACACACACAGACACCACGAGGTGGTCTTCTACGCGGCATTAAACATAATAAACAACATCTAAACATCACTTCAAACTTAAGACATTGCGATTTATAACATTTGTGACAATCTGTACACATTACTGACCTGTAGAACAGGAGAAATGATGAGCAGAGAATGCCTTTTACTGCTCGTTTGGCGGGTCTTGCCAGAATGGCAAGCTAACGACAGCTCCGTCATCACGTCAGACATTTTACGGCAGACGCGTAAATAATAACCAACCCCTTTGCGGCAGTGATACCCTGCCATCTACTGCCCCCTGCTGTCCATTGTTAAACAGGTCATATTAAATCATATTAATTATACACATACAATTGTGATTACACTTTGTGTGGGTCACACACACTCCCCGACAAAGAAAAATGGCTCCCGACATTAACCATCAACCTCTTAACTTGTGCCCCTTCTCTTTGAACTTAAAACACTTATACACACTCTCACAAGGGCACTTCTTTAAATGTACAGGTGAATACAAATATGTATGAGAGTGGGTGTAACAATCTTTCCTTCTCAATATGCATGTATGTATGGCAGCATTACAGTGTAAGGCAGTGTCTGGTGTGTAGTGTAAGGCAGTGTCTGGTGTGTAGTGTAAGGCAGTGTCTGGTGTGTAGTGTAAGGCAGTGTCTGGTGTGTAGTGTAATGTGGCATAGGAAGGGGCTGCATTCCCCAGAATGGCAGGGCTTGTACAGTATATAGTCCCGCTGGGTCTGTAGGCCCACATGATCTGGAGGATGGCTGACCAAGGGAGTCATATGTCAGCGTTTGAGGAGGTCTCCTGTCCCGTGTGGATTTCCTCACTGGCTCATCCTGAGGTGTCACAGGTCGGTCATAGCCATAGGGTACTTGTACATCCTCATGCTCTTCCGGTGCTTCAGAATCCACAGGCAGGTCTTCCTCATCAGTCCGTTCTTCTGGTGGTTCTTGTCTGGTTTCTCTCTCAGGTGTAACAACTCGATGTTGTTCTGGTATATGATATCTCAATGGCACTCTATATCTATGTGGTTCAGGTACCCTTTTCCGACCGTCTGTGTTTTGCTGAGATCCAGAGCTAGGTTCAACATTCTGTGAGTGAAGTCCAGCTTGTGGGGGTACTCTTAGCCAGTATCGTACTCTAGGTGCCTCATCATCAGAGTTTTCTGAGTCACTGCTTTGTGATGTCTCTCTCTGTCGTTGTTTCTCAACATGATGACTCTTGCTCTTCCCTCTAGGTGGTAGCAGATTTCCTGTTGGTTCAGGCAAGTTTACAGGTAGGTCATTGACAACGTGTAGGAGATTTCGATGGAGGGTACGGATCTTATGACCACCTGTCTCAGAGCACACTTTGTACACAGGAATGTCACCAACTTGTTCTTTGACGACATACACAGTTTGTTCCCAGTAGGACCTCAATTTTCCAGGTCCACCTCTCTCACTCATGTTGCGGACTAGGACTCTATCACCCGGTTGGAGCACAACTCCCTTGATGTGACAGTCGTAGTACTTCTTGTTTCTTGCACTGGAGTGTTGACTGTTTTCAGATGCAATCCGGTAAGCCTCTTTCATTCTCAGAGCCCATTTCTTAGCATAGCCCTGTGTTGTTTCAGTCTGACCTTTGGCTGACAGACCAAACATTAAATCTACTGGGAGACACGGGTGCCGTCCAAACATGAGGTAGTGGGGTGAAAAGCCTGTTGCCTCATGCCGGGTGCAGTTGTATGCATGTACAACCAGGGGTAAGTGGTCTTTCCAGTTGCTCTTTTCTGTTTCTCCCAGGGTCCTCAACATTTGGAGCAGTGTTCTATTGAACCTCTCAGCTGGGTTTCCTTGGGGGTGGTATGGGGTTGTCCTCGAATGAGCAACTCCAGCCAGATGCCTCAGGGTCTTGAACAGGTCATTTTCGAACTCTCTGCCTTGGTCGTGGTGCAACCTGGCCGGGTAGCCGAATCTTGGAATGAAGTCATTATAGATTTTTTCAGCAGCTGTTCTGCCAGATTTATTTTTTGTTGCGTAGACTTGAGCAAATCTGGTAAAATGGTCAATAACTACTAAAATGTACTCGTAGCCCCCTTTGCTAGTTTCCAGGTGCATATAGTCTATAGACACAAGCTCAAGTGGTGCAGATGAAGTGATGCTGCCCATTGGTGCTCTGACGTGTGTCACAGGTTTCTTTTGTTTGATACAGGGGCACTTTCTGGTTACATAGGTTTCAATGTCCTTTTTCATGAAAGGCCAGTAGAAACGGTCTCGAGCCAGGTGGATGACCCTCTCAGCCCCAACATGTCCCATGTCGTCATGGAGATGCTTTAGTACCAGGGGGTGGTATCGTGATGGTAAGACGAGCTGCTGCCGCTGACTGGCTGTCCGGTACAACAGTTGATTTTCCATGTGCAGTTTTCCCCACTCGTGCATGAGCTTTCTGAGCGTACCACTGGCTCTCTTCCTGTCCTCATTGGTCAATACTGCCTTTGCCTCTTTAAGTTTGATAAGCTCACCGATTGCATGGTCCTCCCTTTGGGCATTGACTAGCTCACTGTGGTCAATGGTAAGGGGTGACACATTCACAGGTGACTCTGAGCATGAAGCTAGGTCCAATGCAGCAACATAAGCAACATCCTGCCTCTTTGCAGACTCACAGCCATCCCATGTGGTTTGGATGGTTTCTCTTGTGAGTTCTTCAGTACACTCTCTGACGTAGGTGTCAATGTCAAGAGGGAGACGAGAGAGCGTGTCTGCGTCTATGTTCACTCTTCCTGGCCTGTATTTGACATCAAACCTAAAGTCTGCTAGCTCACCTACCCATCGGTGGCCCACAGCATTCAGCTTGGCAGTACTCATCATGTATGTGAGGGGATTATTGTCTGTGTATACTGTGAAATGGGGTGCATAGAACAGGTAATCCCTACATTTCACACATATCGCCCACTTAAGAGCAAGAAACTCGAGTTTCCCTGAGTGCATGTTGTAATTCTTCTCAGCGGGAGACAGAGTTCTTGAACCATAGGCGATGACTCTCAATTTTCCATCCTGTCGTTGATACAACACAGCGCCGAGTCCCTGCTGAGAGGCGTCAGTGTGAAGCACAAATGGCAGTTCGAAATCCGGATAGGCCAACACAGGTGGGTGTGAAAGTGTGTCAATCAGCTGTTCAAGGATCCTTTGGTGATCATCAGTCCACAGGACAGGTGTCCTTGAGGGCAGCTGAGCTCCTTTTCCAACCTTATGTTTCCCCTGGGTCACGGTAGAGCTTCCTTTAATTTTTAACAGATCATAAACTGGTTTGGCAATGCTTGAGAAGTTTTGAATATAGGCTCTATAGTAGCTTAAGAAACCCAGTAACTTCCGCACTTCTCCAACTGTGCTTGGCCTCTTCTCTTTCAGGGATGTGATGGCATCAATGTCTTTTGGGTCAATCCTGACACCGTCTGCAGAGACCAGCCTCCCAACATACCTGACCTCTTTCTGAAACAGCTCACACTTTGTTGGTCTAAGCTTGACACCATGGGACTGCAAGGCTCTCAGGACTTGACGTACTCCCTCAACATGGCTAGTGAAGGAGTCGGAGTAGCAGAGGATGTCATCGAGGTAAGGGATACAGCAGTTGTCACGCAGAGAGTCCAACATTTCCTCCATGCTGCGCTGAAAAGCAGCAGGGGCGTTGGAGAGTCCA